AAGATAAGATAATCGAAAAATGAATATTTTACTAGATATTTTACGACTTATGTAAAATTAAGAAATGATTTCAAGCCTCATAACTCGAAAACTACTTAATGAAAACTAACTTAATTATAGTATTTCGGAAAGCTCTCGAGATGAACTAAAAAAATATGCAAAAGCATATAGGATGTCCCATTTAAAAAGTTGGATGTGATCTTCACGTAACCTTCAGGTGACTTTTCAATGTCAAACCAATCACATCACCTTATGTTCCCCTTTAAGCCATACAACTTTTGTCTGAAACATTTTTTTATAGCTGGCGTAGTTTAGGAGAAATTTGGATCCATCGATTAAAATGGGACACCCTGTATATAATAGTCTTAACATCACGGAGCGCCGCTTGCTCAACTTTGTACGCTTGCGCATTGGGGACTTGAGCGTTGACCAAGACGACGTATCTTAATGAGAATTTTTCATATTTCGACTTTGGATCATAATATTGCTGTTCATGATGCACGTAGAGCAAAAATAAAGACACTTTTCTTATATAAATCAAACTCAAGCTATCAATTAAGCCTAGTAAGAACTCGATCCGTTCAGCGATTATTTCAATATGATAATCTCGAACATCTCAAACTATCCGACTCGCGTAATAATACACGGAGTGTCTTGTTGCTTACGCGGGACTTAGCACAAGACACTACCGTGTCTCTTGATGTTAGTTTCTTATTAATCTACTTATAATATCGTATATAAACGTTTCTTTATTTCAAAATGTTTTATATTTATGTTCTGTATGACTAAATCAATACATTTTTAGTAATTTGTTTGTCCTATTAATAAAATGTTAGCAAAATAACAACAAATTACTAACAAAATTGATCACAGTTTGGCTGCAAGACCGGTATTATTTGTGTTCTCATTAAACCCATGTTTTACAAGCACAAAAGTCTGCAAAGTACAGCTAAATATAACGTCGATGTCTGTTTAGCTGTACTTTGTGCTAATTTTCTTTTGTCTTTCTTTTACAATAAAAAAGACAGAAATGAATAGTGTAAAGGATTTAATTATATAAAAAAGAGACCCACAGAATTTAATAAAATTTCTGCTAAAATTTTGTTCACGAACGAATTGTTAAAACATATTGAAATTTTTTTCAGAAACTCGTTACTGATCGGAATATTTCTATCGCCAATGTGCAAAAAGTATTAAAATCATGGTTGCAACATGCCGGCGATCGAATAAATCGAAGACAAAAAGAAGAAATTCAAAATGAGTCAGTGGATGACTTTTATAATAATATATTATATAATAATAATAATAACTTAATATAATTATGACATGGACATATCCAGGATTTTTTTTCAGAAGGGTTTTATCAATTCTGTTATTATAGAAACTATTTTTGTGTTAAGCAATTGTTTTCTTTCATATTTTAAAGTTTATAATGTCTCCTCGTTCCTAATTTTGAAAAATATATGAAATATTAAAATATTTAATATATTATTAAAGATATTAAAAGTATTATTAAAAATATTAAGTTTATTATTAAAAATATTAAGTTTTTTAAATCGATTTTTATTTTTATTTTTGTGCAATAATAAAAATAATAAATATAAAAATGTTTAAGATGATTTATTCCCTAATACTTATTTTACACAATCTATAATAATAATTCAAGACAGAATTCTAGTTATAAATTTTATGTATCGTGTAATACAGAAAATATTTAAATATAACGTAAAATACATACAAAATAAAATATATATCGGAATAAGCGTATACATTAAAACATATAACGCATAAAATTATAAATAAAATTCTATCTCGAATCAGAAATTCATATGTTAACATATGTCAGATCTCTTTTAGACATCATAAATAAGAATTCTATATGACATAATTTAGATATCTTAAAGACGTTCATTTTAAGAAATCTTTTTGACTTCATTTTTGTGATATCTTTCTGTTCTTCTGTCAAAAAACAGCCCATTAGATAACATTCTAATATCTTTATATGATCTTTTAGAAGCCTTTTTAAGTTATCAGGTTCGGAAATAAGATATCTTTTAGAAATCTTTTTGATTACATATTGTTTTCTGGGTATAGAGTGTTCCAGAATTGATAATAAAAAAACAACATATTCTATACACCAATTGATTTCTCTCATTATTTTATACATAAAAGTATTAAGATAAGATAATCGAAAAATGAATATTTTATTAAACATTTTATGATTTATGTAAAATTAAAAAATTATTTCAAGCCTTATAACTCGAAAAGAATACTCAATACTCCCTTAATACTCAATGAAATAATACTTTATTATAGTTTTGAAAAGTTTTCGAGGTAAGCTACAAGAGCTTTTTTGGCAACAGATAGTCCTGACACCCTATATATATTGTTTGAACTTGGACTTCAAAATTTTTAGCCTTTTTTTGTATTATGAGATACACCCTGTATATATCTTCAGAACTGTATAAAAGCGAAATATCTTTCATCAAATGTCATACATTCTGCTACAATGTGTTTCCTTCATCAGTTAATTCTCTTTTGCGCGACATTAATCTATTGCGGTAAGAAATATACAATTTTAATGTAATTTTAATTAAAAATTGAAATAACTTATTCAAATTATTATTTGAATTTGTTTTAAATTTGTTTTATTTGTTTCTGCTTATTCAGCTGTTCTTCGGTTTAAGGTAAAAAATTATCTAATAAAAAGTTATTTTCTCATAATGCATTGCATATAGCGTTTGTATTTCTACACTTGTCTGTAAAAAAATATGAAATAAATAAACATCTATGATATAGTATTTCTCTCAATAGCTACATTTTATAGATCTACGTGATATTTCAATTCTTCTATATAAATGTATCATCAATCTTGTTTAATGATGCAATACAAATATGCTGTGTTAATATCAATTAATTTGTACGAAAAACGAGATCGAATAGTTGCAGGGATACAATCGCAGACCGAAGATAATGTAATTTCCATCAAAGATACAATATCGAAAGATGAAAACACGATATTGATTAAAAGAGAGAATTCGGCCATTTTATCAAAATATATAATCGCAGGAGTTGATGATGAAAGAAAAAAAATAAAAAAAACTTGTCGGATTAAAATAAATCCCACACTTTCCAATTTATCAAGTCCTCTTGAATGCGCGCGTACATGCAACGATGAAAAACCTAAGATCTGTTATTATCGCTTTGAAGCAGAGGCATATTCTTCACTTACCAAGTGAGTAATATTTATTAATTTCTATTAGTAATATTTATTAATTTCTTAATAACATAATAAATTATTATTGTAAATTATTATAAGTATTATTATAAATATTACTACACACAATAATGTGTGTGAATAATATGTTTAAAATACTGTGATGCATGCATGAGTATTTATAATCTCTAAATATAAAATTTATCTTTTCTGCATCTTATTTATGTTATATTATAATTAAATTTATATAATTCATTTATATAATTAATTTATATAATAAAATATAAATAATATTTTATTTTAAATTAATTTTATTTGCAATTATTTTATAATTTATAAAATAATATAATGTTATAATATAACATGCGCATGTGTATATTCACATATTTGTTTATGTAGCATAAATAGATATATAATAACTCAATAGATTTTTTTTAATTTCAAATTATCAATTCTTGATATTAATGCAAACATACACACACACACACACACACACACACACACACACACCCACACACACACATACACATATACATATAATGTATATTCACACAATAAATTCGTATATTGATTGGATATATAGCATCTATAATATGTAAATATAATAATAATAAATATAATATATAAATTTTTAATATTTCTAAATATATTTCAGCGTATTAATGTATTATATATTTCAATTCTTACTTTTCAGAGCGTGTGATTACTGTAAACCAAATGCAACCAATACCTTCTGCAACAATTGTCAGTGCGTACCTGTCGACGGAGTGGAACGTCCTATTTTGACGATAAATCGTATGATACCCGGACCTTCTATCGATGTGTGTGAAGGCGATAAAATAGTGGTAGATGTCATTAATAAAATGGACAGTGAACTTACAATTCACTGGCATGGAGTATTTCAAAAAGGTTCCCAATATTATGATGGTGTACCCTTTGTGAATCAATGCCCTATTTCTGCTAAAAGTACTTTTAGGTAATTAATAAATAATATCGAATTGATTTTAATATTATACTTAAAATAAATATGAACGACTGTATACAACTGCGAATACAAATGCTAAAGCACATGTAGATTTCTTTGAAAAAAATAAATGGCTCGCAATTGAAAACCATTGTTAGTCATATATTTTCTTATCATTAATTACAGAAATATTCTTTAATAAGCGTGCAGTTGCGTTTAGTAAAAATTAATAGAATGAAAAGAAAATTTCTTGCTGAAAAATGTAATGAAAATATGTAATCTTTTATTTGAAATTGGTTATGTCTATTTTTAGTGATACATAAATAATGATTTATCTTTATAATGAATGTATGTATGCTACATTATATTTATTATGAAGATAAATCATAATATTTTAATTATATTTTGGAAATCTTGCAATTACACTAAATATTTTAATTCTGCTATATATTTTTGCATTATGTGAAACAGTATTATTGCAAAACAGTATATTGCATAAACGATAGCAAATTTTTCGATAGATATTATGTGTGTGTAAAGAAGTAATGTAATATGTAAAAATATATATATATTTTTGTAAAATATTTCTTCAGATACCAATTTAATGCGGATAACGAGGGTACGCACTTTTGGCATGCTCATAGCGGATTGCAAAAACTGGATGGTATTTTTGGAAGCTTGACTATACGTCAGTCAGCAAAACGCGATGTAAACAGTTACTTGTATGATTTTGATCTATCTCGTCATAATATCTTTATCAGCGATTGGATGCACGAACTCGCTTTATCGCGTTCACCTGGTCGTCTTCATGGCACAAAATTTCAATTTCCGGACTCGTTTCTGTTTAACGGCAAAGGTCGTTATAAGGTAACATTTATCTCTCTCTTCTACATATTTAAAATTATTTTTAATTTAGAGATTAAGAACAAATAATTTGTAATAATTTACAATATACGAATTATGATGTCAAAATATGATAAAATAATATAAAGAATATAATAAAAAATTTTATTTAAATATTTTAATTCCTTTAGAAAATTAAAAAAACATCACACAACGCAATATACAAAGCAATTCTAATTATTTTAAAGATAGAAAAAATTATTTCTATTTTCATATCTTATTGCAAGTTTTTTTAGCAACATCATATTGGCAATATTAATTTTATAAGAATTTAATAAGAGTCAGATTTATTATAAACATAATATTTGCAGGCAAGTGATACTATAATCAATACGCAGGTATTTCGCGTGAAACGCGGTTATCGTTATCGATTTCGCATGGTAAATTCGTTTTGTACAACTTGTTCATCTATTTTAACCATTGAGGGTCATAATCTTACTGTTATAGCTACAGATGGTATCTCGGTTAAACCCATCATAGTGAATTCTATAATCAGTGTTTCAGGTATGATACATTATATTTCAGATTAATTTATTCAAGATTAATTTATGTAACAAATAAATTCAGAAAAAAGATGGTAAATTATAAAAAATAAATTAATAAAGTTAATATCAATCTATCATTCTCTGCTTGGATCAATTAAGATTATATAAAATTTTCCAAAAATTTTATTAATAATATGTCATGCAATATTAACGTAGTTTTCATACGTAGATTCATATTTAACATTGATATTTCTCGAAAATATGCATGTAAAATATAAATTATATGTAATATATATACTAATATATATTAATAAATAAATATATGTATATATATATATTTATATATTTATATATCTTTTTTTTCTTTATAATGGATTAAATATCTAATATTTGAATGATTTTTTAGGGGAACGTTATGATTTTATTATAAATACAAATAATCGAATCGATTCCTATTGGATTCAACTTCGTGCATTCGGAGAATGCAAAAGCAGAGCTATTCAACAATTGGCTATATTACAATATAACAGAGCATCAGATGTACCCACAACATCTCCGCCTACCTTTAATGCTCCACTTCCTACAGGAATCGTAAATAACACGCAAATTCACAATAGATTTTTGCGACATAAAACATTTAATAATTATACATTTACAGTACTTTCATATTAAATCTCTCTTTCTCAATTTGATATGAAATTTTTCTTTTTACTTCTCTTTTCTCTATAGAAAATGAATAAAATAAAACAATAAAAGGAGTTAATTCTATTGTTGAGAACTTTCATTAATATAATGTAGTATTATATATGTATATGCTTAACTTTTCTAACAATAAGTTAATATTATATATCTTTGAAAAATAAAGAGAGAAATAATCGATTTATCTGTATTTTTTTCAAAATAAATACTCAAAGATTATTGATTAATCATACTAATGATTAATTGTTTCTTTGGCATTTTCATTTCTGATTAAAATTTATCTTTGACAATGAAATGATTGTATTGTGTGTTTTTTTACAGATATTAAATCCACTTGATAGTAAATGTGATCATCCAAGAACTGATGCGATTTGCGTAAGCAACATGCACAGCGCAATTCAAGTTGACAAAGGCATTTTTACAGAAAAACCAGATGCCAAATTTTACTTACCATTCAAATTCTATAATTATGATCTGCAGAATCTTTTTGCGCCTAATCATTTCTATCCATTTATAGGTGAAGTTTATTCTACAAATTCTTACTTGAAAACTTTTATATTGCAACATTAAATTAGATAAATCAAGATTTTTGGAAAGAATCATAGAAAAAACTGGCAATATATTGATCAATTCTTACGAAAAATTTGATTTTGGCATTTGCATTTAAAACATTTTTTACTACATATGATGATTTTAATAATAATCTTATATAGTAAATATCTGACAGTTATATTTTATAATGTTGTGCATTTATTTATTTCTATAGTTGGGCCTAAAGACGCGCATGTAGCTTCTGTTGTCAATGATATTATATTTCAACTTCCGTCGTCACCACTACTTTCGCAATTTAGAGATATTCCACCTAATACAATTTGTAACGATACCCACAAACCGGATAATTGCGGCAACATATGCAGTTGTACTCATGTTATAGAACTCCCATATAATGGTATCATCGAACTTATTGTAATCGATGAAAGTAAGCTTTTTGTCATGCTTTTTACAATTTTTTGTATGCACATGCTACTTATAATTGCACAAGATATATCATATACTATATATATATATATATATATATATATATATATATATATATATATATATGCACACCATAAACTACATATATATTCATTTCTACTACACACACACACACACACACACACACACACACACACACACACACACACACACACACACACACACACACACACACACACAACACACACACACACACACACACACACACACACACACACACACACACACACACACACACACACACACCACACACACACACACACACACACACACACACACACACACACACACACACACACACCACACACACCACACACACACACACACACACACACACACACACACACACACACACACACACCACACACACACACACACACACACACACACACACACACACCACACACACACACACACACACACACACACACACACACACACACACACACACACACACACACACACACACACACACACACACACACACACACACACAACACACACACACACACACACACACACACACACACACCACACACACACACACACACACACACACCACACACACACACACACACACACACACCACACACACACACACACACACACACACACACACACACACACACACACACACACACACACACACACACACACACACACACACCACACACACACACACACACACACACACACACACACACACACACACACACACACACACACACACACACACACACACACACACACACCACACACACACACACACACACACACACACACACACACACACACACACACACACACACACACACACACACAACACACACACACACACACACACACACACACACACACACACACACACACACACACACACACACACACACACACACACACACACACACACACACACACACACACACACACACACACACACACACCACACACACACACACACACACACACAACACACACACACACACACACACACACACACACACACACACACACACACACACACACACACACACACACACACACACACACACACACACACACACACACACACACACACACACACACACACACACACACACACACACACACACACACACACACACACACACACACACACACACACACACACACACACACCACACACACACACACACACACACACACACACCACACACACACACACACACACCACACACACACACACACACACCACACACACACACACACACACACACCACACACACCACACACACACACACACACACACACACACCACACACACACACACACACACACACACACACACATTATTATTACAGATGGATGAATTAATATTAATGTATAGCTTTTTTCTTGGTTCTTATTTTATTTATATCATTTGTATAATTATGTTTTAATTAATATAAAGTGTAAATAATTTATTTATATTAAAACCATAATATTGAATTACTTATGCAGTCTTTTAAATTTTTAATTATTACATATGTTAAAAAATACAATTAAATGGATACACATTTAATATTTTACACACACACACACAAATATTTTCATAATATATAATATAAAGCCATTTTTCTTATGTAATCTCTCTCTCTCTCTCTCTCTCTCTCTCTCTCTCTCTCACTGCTTATTTCAATATAGGAAATTATTATATTATTATTGTATTTTACATTTTATTTTTAGCTAAAGTTCCTGAATTACATCACCCGTTCCATTTACATGGCTATGCTTTTAACATAATGTCCGTGGGAGTTCCAAATAATGAAACTGGAACTACTGTAGAAGAAATAAAAATATTAGACAAGAAAGGGCTCCTGCTCAGAAAAAAATTCGCTCCGCCGTTTAAGGATACTATGCCTATACCAAATAAAGGTTATGCAATTATACGCTTCCGCGCGAACAATCCTGGTAAGTGTTTTTGTATTTTATTTCATTATACATGTTGTACGCCTTAAAACACTTTTACTATATTTTTATATATTTAAATTAAAACTTGAAATGATATATAATTGCCATTCAAAATTCCTATATTTCGATATTTACATTCTACGATCTATGGCATCCTTAGTGATTTTAAATTTCTATTTAGTATATGTATACATATCTTATTCATATAGTACATAATTGTGCACTTATGTAGTGTATAAACAAAAAATTTAATTTATAAATTATTTATAATTTTATAATATAAGAATATAAATAAACACTGGTATTTTCTACGCAAATGATATATGTATAATGATTATTATATATATAATGTGCTTATGAATAATTTCCCTATTACAATAAATAGCTATAAAAAGATTTAATTTAATTTAATTGATAAAAACTTTTTTGTTTTATTAATAGCCATAATCAAATTTTAGTCCGATATTTTATTTACAGGTTATTGGTTGTTCCATTGTCATTTTCTTTATCATCTAGAAAACGGTATGGCTACGGTATTCCACGTCGGAGAACCATCAGATCTTCCACCTGTCCCAAAACATTTTCCCAAATGTGGAAATTTTGTACCGTTTATATCTCAACATTAAGTAAATAATTGTTATTTGTATTATATTTGTATTACATTAATATTTAATATTTAATATTCAATTTTTGTAATATAAATATGCTTTCGTTTTAGTTGAAATTGATTATCAAAAGAACCATAATAGTATTTAAAAATGTAATTTTTTTCACATAGATGTTATATTTAAATCTTTTTCTAAAAATTAATTATTAAAAACATTATTTATATATTTAATCCAAATACAATTATTTTATAAATTGTTATCTTTTGATAGCTAATATGTGTTTTTGGTAAACAGGATATTTAACATTAATAACATTATAAATAATATTCTATATAAATTTTATAATTAATAGAATATTACAAAGGGCGCTTATGTAATGTATAAACAAAAAAATTTATAAATTATTTAATTAATTAATTATTTAATTAATTTTATTAATTAATTTTATAATATAATGATTATTATATGCAATGTGCTTGAATAATTTCTCTCTTGCTATGCGCGCCATTTAATTCCTTCTATTGTAACGAGAAAAAATATAATATATGTATATTATTCATATATACAGAGTGCCTCAACTTCCTAACAATACTTTAAGAAGGTGTTTCTTTCTAAAAATCAAATAGAGTAAAAAATTCTAGTACAAAATTGTAAAAGCTGCAATAGTTTTTGAATACAAAATCAAAAAGTGTGTCATCGTTTTGACATCGTGTAGAATTTACGCGCTAAGATTCTAAATTACATTTACACGTGTACCGATATGTCATCTGTTATTGATTTGTTCTGTCATATGTTATTGATTTGTTCATGTCAAGTGATATTGATTTTTACTGTAGCTTTTACTATAGATAATTCCTTACGTACATATGTATTACATCGTACATTATGGCGATTAATTAATATTAATAAATAATAAATAATGTATGGAAAACATAAAAAATATATATTTATTCAAAAACAACATTTCACACAGGCATTTCATGAATTTTTTTATCATGGATATGAATAAAATTATTAGAATTATTAATAATTATTAATATATATGTATATGTATATATTCACCTGAAATTATTTATAAGAAATTTAAAAATAAAATAATTTCTCTATACTTTCAATATTTATTAATTATATTTCGATATTTATTAATATCTCGATATTTAATAATTATATATTAACTGTAATTAATATTGACGATACACATAAATGATTAAAAATTCTGTAAATTGAAAGCTTATTCTTTTCTACTTTGATAAAATCGCCCGCATACCGCATTTGTCAAAATATATAATGCTCAAACTTTAATAATATTTTGCATAAGCAGTATCGGGTGGAACATATTTTACAATATTGATTGTGAGGAAAATATTAAAGCAAATCAAAGTTTTATTGTGGCTTTTTCTGTATTTATGTTTATCAACGCAAGTAAATTAAATTTTAGACTTTACACACATGTTTTGCAATACATATATAAGAGCATCCAATATGTCGCTCAATTACATCTTTCGAATTTATGTTATATTTTAAATTTCCATACGTATCAGCATAATAACTATAACGCATCCGGAATATTTTTTGTCAATTATAATTTTTAATAGATTTATATATATATATATATATATATATATATATATGGAGAGAGATGTAAATATATATGAAAATATTTATTTATCTTACTTGATATTTGATAAGAATTTATAATTTTTAAATTCTCATTAGAACATTACGAAGAGCGCGTTATTTAGTACTTATTATGTATAATCCGAGAAAAAAAATATATATATATGTATATATAATTATATGTATATATAAATACATATAATATATTATGTTATATATAATATATATTTATAATATTCTCAAATGGAAAAGAGGCAATAATACATTTTGATATTTTTGAATATAACATGCCTCTTTTGGGAGAGCTTTGTATGATTTAGAAATTTTTATATAATTAAATTAAATCTGCAATTAAAATAAAGTTCTGAAAATAGTTCTAAAATAGCTGATAAATCAATTTTTATCTGCTGATAAATTGGTAAGTTTTAGAACTTAACTCATTTTTTAACTGCAAATTTCACAATTACAATTTTAAATAAATATTTTATATTATTTAATGTAATACTATTTTTTAAATATCTATATGTATATACAGGGTGATTTAGAGTGAACATAATAAATTTTGATATAAAAGAAAATATTAGATTTTATTCTTAATACTTAGTAAAATGATTATTGTAATTATAATAAAATCATTATGTTCAAAAAATTAATATCTTTCTTTTAAATAGTTTTGTTTTGATTTCTCAAAAGTTTGTCTATCAAGCATATAATTTTACTATTATAGCAGCAAAATTTAATAACTTTTTTTACCTACATAAGTATTGAGAATAAGATTTATGTTCATATGATAGTTTTTTCACAAACAATCTGTCAAATTTTGTTATACTATTTTTTAGCAGATACGTAAACATTATGTATGTATATGTATATAAATCTTCGTAAGTGTTAGTTTACTTCCTTCCTTCCTTAACTGAAGGAAACACCTGATAACACCCACTCGCAATAAGCAGGTAAGTGTCTGGATTTTCAGATAAGATATTTGAAAAGATTTTTTAGTTAGATGCAGCGAGATATAAATTTTGTGCAAAATTGATCAATTACATTAAGAAATAATACTTTTCCCATTAGTTACTTATTCTTAGTATGTATTAAAAAGAAATCAATAAACAATAAATTAAGAGAAAATAACTTATATTTATTCATTCTCACATATATTCGTCTAACTTAAATAGAATAGATTGACTGAATAGAATTAGATCTATTAAATATAGTTTTTCTTAAAATTTTTATTTTGAGATTTTTTTATTATCTCTAAAAATCTATTGATATTATTTGATTATATAACTATAAATTAAAAAGTGATTATTTATTAAAACTGTTATTGACTTATTAATTTACATATTTATTATTTTTTATTTCCTTTTTCGTTATATTATATTAGTATCTTTTTTATAAAAAATAAACAAAGCAAATATAAATATAGTATATAAAATATAAAGAAAATATACTAGAAATCTAACATACATAAAGATCTGATATTCTTATTTACAATAAAAAATAATTTGTTGTTTTACAATATTTTTTGATAATCAATCATTCATTGGTGTAATCATCTATGTTACGTTACACAGATGAACGCATTTAATAATCTTGTCACTTTCGTATTAGTAATCTGACATGCAATGTTTAAATAAATATAAATAATAAAGTATCATTCTCAGTCTGTCGTGATATATACTCAGCTGTATTATACACGTGTGTTCACATTACTTGATAATAAACAGCGCATATAGAAAAATCGTATAAAAACCATATTGTTATATTGTACAGTATCGATGAATTACATTGATCGCGATGCAGCGCGCAACGCAAGTGATTTTATTGTACCTATCAGTTATATTTTGTGGTACGCCCTTTTTCGCAATCTACAATTAATAATAATTAACCAAAATTTAAAAGAGATTAAATATTACTTTATCTTTTAGTTTAAAGAGAGTTTAGTTTAAGTTTTTCGGTTTTAATTTCTTTATGCGCAATTAAAACGTGTACTTTTTAAGAAAATTGCGTATGTGATACAATATTGATATATTACAATTTCAAAATAAAAATAATTAAAAATATTTTGATTAATATATCTTAGGAAAGAAAAATGATTGTGATAAGTGAAGTTTATTCTACTACAGATGGAGCAGAAAATGAATTTTGGCCAGGCTTGCCCGAAATCATAGAACCTCCCTACATCGACAGATTACCGCAAAATAAGAAAGATGCAGATTATGATAATGTGCCAAGTGCTCCTCATTACATTGACACGCAAAATCAGAGAGTTGAAAATTATCCTGTGGAGGATACATCGAATATTCCGTATTACGCCAATACTCAATCGAAATATACAGAAAGTACATCACTTACTCCGTTTGAAGATCGGGAAGGTAATCCACAAAATCTCACATTTCGGCATCGTCAAAAACCGAAATTCCCTATTGCTGGACTGGATTCTTTGAGACCTATCGATGAAAGATTCTGCCTGAATAAAATATTTAACAGGAATTCTTCACTGTCGAGTCCTGTTGAGTGCGCTCGTACCTGTCGGAAAGGCGATCGCAAGATCTGCTATTATAATTTTCTTGCGGAATATTATATGATTAACGGAATGTAAGTATCATATGTGTCATTTTTATGCTTCATTAGACACGATGTATTATTTGTATGTGTGATCTTCATATATTTAAAATGAAATTTCTTTCTTCACAAACATATTTTATTTAAAAATATGTTTTGCATTAATATTGATTATAAATTTTATAATACACTATCTCCTTTATGTTTTCAATAATTGCAGTAAAATAATATGAATTCTCAAGAATAATTGTGCTAATATATATAAATAATTGTAAAATATTAGAAATAAAAGTATTAAAGTAAGAATTAAATTAAAAGTAATAAGAATATGTGCTAATATATATAACATATAAAAAATTTAATACAAGATTAGAAAAAATATACAATACATTTTAATTTACTAATTTCTTATTTAAATTAATAAAATAATAATAAATAATTATTTAAAAAATTACTATAAGTTATATATATCTATTATATAACTTATCTCTCTTATATTATATAACTTATCTCTCTTATATCTCTTTTAGATATAATATTATATATTTCAAATATTGTATTATTCAAATTTTGTAGCAAAAACTTATTCTGCATTTTTGAAATTAATTTGTGCTATATTCTTTTAATACAAAAAGAATCGATCAATAATGCATTTTTAATATTTTTAAAGGGCATGCAAATTGTGCATTCCCAATGCGAGTAATGCTTTCTGCAGCAATTGTGAATGCGTACCTGCAGATGGTATCGAACGTTCAGCGAATATTATAAATAGACAGCTGCCAGGACCAGCTATCGAAGTATGCGAAGGTGATCACGTAGTGATCGATGTGACGAATCACATGCCTGGCTCCGAGTTGACGATTCATTGGCATGGTCTATTTCAAAAAGAATTTCAATATTATGATGGTGTGCCGCATATTACGCAGTGTCCCATTGGGAATGATAATACATTTAGGTAATTATAGATTAATGATACTGCGTTTTATGCAATATTAAGTTTAAATTTTTATACAAATAATAAAATAAATTAATTACCTGATTATTATATTTATGTGAATACAAAAGTAAAACAGAGTTAAGTTTTAGTTAAACTCGTGTTTGTGTGAAAATAATAATTTTTACTGTCATCAAAATGTACATTACAATTAATTCAAGGTATAATTTCTATTAGCCGAACAATGTAAATTACGTTCATTTTTACATTAATATAGGTATCAATGGAGTGCAAATAATCCAGGAACACATTTCTGGCATGCACACAGCGGTTTGCAAAAGATGGATGGTATTTTCGGTAAACTCATCGTACGTCAAACTCCCGAACGCGATCCTCACAGTCATTTATATGATTACGATCTCTCCACTCATGTTCTAATCATTAATGACTGGATGCACGAGCAAGCCGTGGCTCATTATCCTGGTAAACGTTTCAATGAGACCGGTCAGAATCCGGATTCGATACTCATTAATGGCAAAGGAAGATACACGGTACGTTTGATGCCGAAATCAGAAATCGTTATATTTATCTATGAATTTGATAGTATGTATTCATAAATATATTGACATTTGTAATATTTGCAAATTTTATACATTATTCTTTTTAAATATACAACTTCAATCAACTTAATTTGCTTTGATATAAAGATTATTATATAATCTTATTATTATATAATCTTATATATTATAAAGATTAATTATGCTTTGATATAAAAATTATTGATTTTATATAAAACTTATGTATACATGTCTTTTCAATATATATATTTATGAAATTGTGTCGGTTAATGACATTTAATTTTACAGGATAAAAAAACTGGAATCACTACAAATACTACATTGGAAGTAATAGATGTAGAACCTGGTAAACGATACCGTATCCGAATAATCAATGCATTTTGCACGGTTTGTCCTGGTATGCTCACGATACAGAATCATAACTTGAGCGTTATTGCTACAGATGGTATAAGTACCAAACCAAGAACGGTAGATTCTATCACATCATTTGCAGGTACATCGTCGCATTTATCATTTCGTTAATTTCATTATAATTTTATAATAGAATATTATTTTTGGTTTTATAAAACTATAATAATATATTATGGAAATTACATTCTTATAATGTAAAGCTACTTCATTTTATTTATATATACATTTAATTATATATTAAATAATTGTCTTAATCTTATAGAAAATAAAGTCTTATGCACGAGATATGGTAACTGTCGCGAACAAATATTTCTTTGCTGAATTTTATATTTTTAATTATTTGTTGTCGAATTATTTTATGTATATCTTTATATTTTTAATTACTCTTGCAATCATTTATTTTTAAACCATTTAGATTTTTATAATAAGGTAAAAATTTTGATTACTTTTTTACTGAAACACAATAATAAATTTTGATATAATGATTATTTCAAGGGGAACGTTACGATATCGTTTTGCACGCCAACAAACCCATCGGCTCTTATTGGATACAAGTTCGTGGTATAGGAATATGCGCAGCGGATGGTTTACAACAATTAGCTATCTTGCGTTATAAAGGTGCATCGAATGAATCACTAGAACCTGCTGATTACTCTGAAGGTCTTTCTTCTCAAGGTATTGTAAGTACATCCTTAAATTTTCTATATTATCTCATGATATAATATACATGGTACGAATTAAAAATATTGAAATTAATATTGGTCTAATACTTGAAATATACAATAAAAGATTTGATATTTCTTTTCTCATAATTCGGATATAGTGTGCGTGCGTGTGTGTGTGTGTGTATGTGTGTGTGTGTGTGTGTGTGTGTGTGTGTGTGTGTGTGTATACTTTACAATTTTACTTTTTTCCGCTCTCAACACTATCTGCAAAATTATTTTCACAGAATTTGAATCCATTAAATGCAAATTGCGAAGAACCGACGAAAGATCAAATTTGCGTCAGTGATCTGGCTAGCGTAGAGCCGATAGATAAAGATATACTCCGATTCGAGCCCGACTTAAAGTTTTATCTACCTATTGGTTTTTACGCATATACATTACAGGAACTTTATCAACCCAATACATATGATAAATTTATGTGTAAGTATGATGGACATCTTATACTAAATAAAATATGACAGGAGACATTAAGAGGATAACATAAATAAATTGAAATTTATCGAATGAAATATTGAAATATTATAAAAGCTATTAACAAATATTGAAATTAAAAAGTATGCATAATTATAAGTACGAATAAGAACATAATAATAATTATTATCTAAAGCGATATTGAAATATGCTATAATGTTTTTATTTCTGATATAGTGGCACAAGGTAAACTCGCTTTAGCAGGTATAATCGATGGCATATCATTCAAATTTCCATCTTCTCCGCCACTTTCACAGCCTATGGACATTCCGAATAACCAATACTGTAATAGAAATAATTTGCCGGAAAATTGCACCGATAGTGTGTGCACGTGTACGCACAGATTAGATATTCCGCTCAATGCAATTGTCGAGATAGTGCTGGTAGATGAAGGTAAATATTTCAAAGTAGCTCTTCATTCTATTTGATAGATTTTATTAATTTGACTTAATGTTTTTACCTATATCAGATGCATCATAACTAAACATATTTTAAACATATTTTATCTAATATATCTAATTATATCACGATATATCTAATTATTTCGATTACTCGTATACACGAATTATATTTAATATTTGCGAAATTCTAATCAATATAGTTTATGAAAGAATTAATATATTTCAAGTATTTTTTAAAAAACATGTATATCTTTCATTATAGTACAAGGGGCTAATCTGTCTCATCCATTCCACATGCATGGATACGCATTTTATGTGATGGGTATGGGAACTGCTAATGTGAGTAGTATTAACTGGAAAATAGTACAGGAAATGGACAAAAGAAATCTAGTCTATAGATGTTTCGATAACCCAGTCAGGAAAGATACCATTGCAGTTCCATTTAATGGCTATGTTGTACTGCGTTTCCGTGCAGATAATCCTGGTAAGTATTTAGAAAAAATTTCTAAATAAAAATGATACACAACAGAAAGCGTAATTTTTTATATAATATTATTTATATTAAACACAATACACACATACACAGTATATGTCATTTTTGTCAATATATATCTTATAATTTTTTATGTATGCACTTTTTGTATCGTCTTATATATCCACATTAATATAAAAATCTAACATAAATATAACTGTCAAATGCAAACGAGTTTACTTCTATATCATTCTTCTTTGCTATAAAAACATATTTATAAGCAAATAAAAATAAGTTACATATTTTCTTGTAGGCTACTGGTTATTCCACTGTCATTTCATCTATCATCAGATAGTCGGCATGGAAATGCTTCTAAAGGTCGGCAAGCAAGAGGACGTTCCGCCAGTGCCAAGAAATTTTCCAAAGTGCAACCAGTATTTGTCAACTATTGGATACAATGCGTATCCTCCGTTCACCCAAAGCACGTACAAGCCATAATCACAATTCTTATAATCACTATATATACATATGCAAAAGATAATTTATAAAAAAATTGTTGGTACAAATACGTATATAAAAAATTACACGCGGATATAGTATAATTATATTCACGTAAAACAATAAAATTTTTTTATAACATCTATTCTTGTGCATTAATCATTAATGTAAATCCATTAATGATTAATCTTAATGCTCAACTAAATGGTCAACGTTAATGGTCATAGTTAATTGCAAATCTAACAATGAAACATATACATCTATAAAAAATTAGATGTATGCACAAGTACATTATAAAAAATTTACAATAATGTTCGGATCACATTTTGAACACATCTCGACATATTTCATGCTCATTCAAATCCTTGTATGGAATTGTCAATCCAGTCCCTGTAGTAAAATACCCTGGTGAATACATCTGGGAAGCCGCTACCGCACGGAAGCATGCCAAAGGATACAAGGCCAACGAGAACATCATCAGCAACGAGAGGGCCACCGGAGTCACCCTATCGAAATAATATATTTATATATCCTAATATTTTTACCAACATTTTTTACAGTAGTTTTCGAGCTGTATGTATAATTGTAAATATATGATTAAAATTATTATATTTTATAAGAAAAAAATAATCACTTTTATGGAAAACGATTATGGAGGAAAGTTATATCGAAACAACGAAAGTTTCATCATTTTTTTAAATCTCATTTTATGTAGATACCTAAGGCAATTACTCTTTTTTTATAATTATATAAATATTACAATAAAAAATACATATTATTATATAAAATTTATTTTATGATAATACTTACTTTACACATTCCTTCGCCTTGTTCCGTACGAGTACATATTTGAGTTTTTCTAATGTTGTTTTCATAATGCCTATTGCATTCTTTTTGTGAATATCCTTTCAGTATAATTTGTTGCAAGCAATTAGGATTTAAACCGTCATTCTAAGAAATTATTTTTAATTTAGCATCTTTCAAAAAATTCTATACTGGATTATTATAACAATTATTATAGAACATTCGTAATGTAAAAATGTATGATAAATGTAACAATTATTGTAAAGTCTTTCAATCATTTTGTTCGACATATGTGCATTTTTAGATAAAAATATTTTAAATAAAAATAATATAAATGAAAGTATGCAAAAAGATAAAATAAAATATGTGTATATCAGTTTTTTTATTGAATGATAAATAGTAAATTTGAATACAATTTTGAAAAATATGTTAAACTAATCAATGGAATCAAATGAATACATACGATTAAATCTTATTGTTAGAATTAACTACTCAAAAGTTAGTAAATAAAAAGATAATAAGTTTTAAACTTATGTTTATAATATTTGGTTTTCAAATATAATGAGCATTATTTCTGACGCATTAGCCAATTTATTATTGATAAATAAGAAAAAAATATTTCCTCAATATACAGGGATATACATTTATATAGATATACATTTTAGGATAAATCACAAACTTCTAATATTTATTATTTATAAACATTTCCAAAAGCGAATTAGTAATATAATTAAAAAAAAATCCTTATATATAAAATATTATAATAATTATGTTCAAAAATTATAATAATTATTGTAATTATTTAATGTTATTGTAACTATAGTAACTATAATAATTATAGTAATTATTTATTATTATTCAAATCTATATTGATATATTATGATATATTGATCTTTTCGTAAAATGTAATTTTTTAAAAATATTTATTTTGTATTTTTTTAAACAGGAAATAAAAAAGATAAGAAATCGCTCTTGAGATTAAAATTGTATTCGTTAAAATTTTTAAAATTTGTAAGATTTTCGAATATCTTAAATTATAATAAATTGTATATTTACCTCGAGTCTTCCCCAACCAGTTACTACAAAATTACGACCTTCATAATTGCGATCTTCAGTTACCAAGGCAATCGGTTGGATATTTTCATTAAATTTTATTTTTTGCATTACACGGATTAGACCGATGTCATTAATTTGCGATAAACTATCATATTCATCATGTTGTATAAAATTTGCCACTTGATACACAGTAAGTGCATCAAGATAATTGCTTCCAATACCAACAAGAACATCGGACGGATCGTTGAGACTAATAATCAATGAAAATTATATTCAATTGCATAAATATCTAATTAATAAATTAGAAAATACAAATGTTTAAAAGTAAAGAGAATTCTTTGTCAAATAAAATTGACTACATTTTTGCAGTACCTAAGTATGTATATGAAGTAATTACTTTCCCCAAACTTTGTGATTATTGGCGCAAAAATTTTTCAAAAATTGTATATAATTAAAAATTATTGTATTAATACATCTTATTATTTAAAAAATGCAACTAGTAGTAATCATCTTATTACTCATTCAGTTAAAGATATATAAATTCCGCTTAAAATCTGAATATTTTGAAAAGAAAGAAGACATACGTACTTGTTAAGACAGTGCGCTGCGGTAATAATAAAACTCTTACTAATGATAGCTCCACCGCAAAAATGTCTATTGTTCTTTGAATCTCTCAATGATGCTTGATAAGGATACATGCCATTCGTAGCATTCTTGCCACCGACGATTTGTGAAATTGGCAAACCTGTCCATTGAAGATAATCTCATTTTATTTTTGCATAGTATGTTGTTAAAAAGAATTGATTTTAGATTGATACAAACCAATTAATTGTTATAATATATATATATATATATATATATATATATATGCATATATATATATTCTCCGTTTTAAAATATAATAAGTATTAAACCAGATATATCTTAGCAAGATTTTTAATAATACATACTTATATATATTTTGTTATTTAATAGTAAAATAGTAAGTATTAAATGCATAATTAAATACTTATTGCAATATTAATAAGTATAGAAGTTAAAAAAAAGAATTATATATATAAAGAGCAAATTTGATATGTACAAAAGTATATACTATTCATTCGGGACCTGAGTAGATTATATGCGATTCAATCATCATGAACAACATGTTACAATATGATACATCATGAATAACATGTTACATTTGTTACAATATGAGCTTGATCTTTGTATAATAACTTTTGTATGCATCCTTGTTCATTAATAAGATTTTAATTAATGAATGTGCTTACCATAGGCCCTGAGCGCCAAGCATGTTATAAAGAGACCGGTGATAGTATTCATAGCGATAAGTACTGTGGCACATTGCACGTGTTGTTTTCCATTTATATATATCCTGCTGCGTTAATCGAAATCATCTGTTGATATTTAAGGTATTATCTTATTATGGAGGTAGGATATGAATCGTATATACTAATAGAAATTGATGATAGTATTGATAACTTATAATATTGCCATCTAAATAAAGTACGATAATGAGTGACGTAATCAGGAAACAATATTTATCCATATATTTTTTTGCTGAATTTTGAAATAACATCATATAACTAAAGTTTTATTACAATTCTAATATAATTATGAATTTTAATTTTTATATTAGAATTCATAATCATATATTTCTATATATATATATATATATATATATATATATATATATATATATATATATTTATGAAAACTTTTAATACAAAATTTTCTTTTTGATTCAGATCGTGTGTACATTCCATAACTTTATATGTATTATTATTTTACAACAGAATTATAAATATGTGATAATGTATAATAAATAAATTTTATTCAAATTAAATTTTGTGTGTGTTTGCTACATTTCATATTTATTATACATATATATATATATACATAATTATGAATTTTAATAAAAATTGGAATTTATAATCATATTAGAATTTGTCATAAAACTTTAGTTATAAGCTATTTCAAAATTCAACGAAAAATATACGAATATATATAATATATAAATATTATTACTCTTGATTGTTTCATTCATTATCGTGTTTTATTTTTATATAGCAATATTGTAAATTATTATATATAAAATATATATGTATATATTTATTTTAATAAATTTAATATTATTTTATATATAAAATATATTGTATATATTTATTATATATCTATTATATGTATCTATTATATATATTTTATATTCAATATTCATGAATAACATAAATAAGAATATTCTTTACAATTTCATTACTGGATAAAGTTAATTTAAAGTTATTAGTATTTTCGCGTTACGTTTCTGGCTATATATTCCATAAAATATTTTTTTAATATATGTTTACTATATCATGCAAGGTACAAACTCTGCATTTGATGTTAATCTCGCGATATGTTCAGATAAGAATCAAATTATTTTCAAGTACATACGATAACTGTTAAGTATGATAAATGTTCAATGATATCTTAATTATCCATCAAAATATTTTGGGGAATTTTACAGTTAGTGTATCATTTGATACAAAATATCGATAATTGGTCACCACAATATGCAAATTATATAAATATGCTTAATTCTAACACATTTAAATATAAAAATACAATAATTATTCTATTACTAGTATGAATCATTGATCTATTGTAAAAATAAGTGGCTATATTACTTTGTATGTCTTAAATATTTTTTCCTATATTTATAACACTTTCTTATCAGAACAATAAATATTGTAATTATTAAACAATAAAATTAATTAAACAGTATTGTAATTATTAAACAATTTATTCATGATTATTATTTGAAACATGAACTTCCCTATACAGGGTCTACCAAAAGTGTGGAAACCCCTAAATATCTCGGAAAATATACGTTTTACAGAAAAGTGTTTCCAACAAAAGTTGTAGGGTTTAAGAAGATCTATATACTGATTCTATCAGTTTGACCTTGGATGGCGTCGTCAAGGTCAGGTCAAGGTCACATTGACTTTTTTAAATGACACCCCCTACATTTGATTGCATATTCTTATAGCTTAATTCAAGAGCTTTCCAAAACACTATAATAATGTTCATTTTTATTAAGTACTTTGCGAGTTATGAGGGTTGAAATAATTTCTTAATTTTACATAAACCATAAAATATCTAGTAAACCATTCATTTTTCGATTATCTTACCTTCATACTTTTATGTACAAATTAATGAGAGGAATCAATTGGTGTAAAGAAAACACATAGTTGTTTCTAAGAAAAAATATGTAATTTGCAATTAACAATTCCATATTTTTTCTTAAAAACAACTGTATGTTTTCTTTACACCAATTGATTCCTTTCATTATTTTGTACATAAAAGTATGAAGGTAAGATAATCGAAAAATGAATGGTTTACTAGATATTTTATGGTTTATGTAAAATTAAGAAATTATTTCAACCCTCATAACTCGCAAAGTACTTAATAAAAATGAACATTATTATAGTGTTTTGGAAAGCTCTTGAATTAAGCTATAAGAATATGCAATCAAATGTAGGGGGTGTCATTTAAAAAAGTCAATGTGACCTTGACCTGACCTTGACGACGCCATCCAAGGTCAAACTGATAGAATCAGTATATAGATCTTCTTAAACCTTACAACTTTTGTTGGAAACACTTTTCTGTAAAACGTATATTTTCCGAGATATTTAGGGGTTTCCACACTTTTGGTAGACCCTGTATATCATATTTTCATAATAATATAATTTATATTAATGTTTTTGTTAATATATATTATTTATTTTAACACAAATTAATGTAAAAATATATTTAACTATAAAACTTTAAAAGATTTTCAATTCCTTTTCATATTCCTTTATTTCTTTGCTATATTTTTTGCATATACTGTCTGTAATGCTGTAAATAAGGATAATAATGAGACAAATTTTGTTTTACATTGTTATCATAGTTATTTATGAAAATCTTTCTGAGAAGTGAGTAATAAAACATTCCGTTAGTACCTTTGCAAACTTTTGCATAAATAATCAGGACATTACATATTCATATTTATTCATAAAGTACATATATATTATAATAAATCTATAAATATATAAAAAGTGATCTATGGATTTATGAATATGTATGTATGATTAAATAAAATTACTAAAATACAAAAATATAATTCTAACACATTAAATTAATAAAAAATTTAATTAGTAAAAGATCTAATCACTTAATTAACAATATAATTTTTAAAATTAAAAACACATTTTATTATATGAAATTGTAAGTTGATTACTATACAAATTAGTACACGAAATATATAAGAAATACATACAAATATTATCCATAAAATTGAAATATATGTGCATACATATTATACACATATTATCTATAAAACTGAAATAGATGTGCATGTATATTATTAAAAATTGGAGAATAATATTTTATTAGAAAACATATTTTTAATACGATATCCTCATTTGAGAATCAAATTCTTTATGGATTCCGTATGGAAATTAATCCATGATTTATAGTAAAATACTCTAGTAGACACGTCTGGATAACCTGCACCACAGGACCTATAACCATAGGATGCGAGACCAATGAGAACACCATCAGCAACGAGTGGGCTACCAGCATCACCCTATCGAGAGAATGTTTTTAAAATATATTAATGTTTCAATTACATATATATTAATATAGAATACATATTATTAATTTTCTTGAATTCAATATAATCTCTCCATAATACATTGAGATTTTTTCTACTATGTGATGTACAATATTAGAATTATTTTTGTAAAAAAAAGGCTTATTAAAAACTACGACTTATTAAAAGAGTAATATAAAAAGAGAAATAATATAAAAATTTCGATTTTTATTTTTATTTTTTTTTTTATATTAATTTTTATAGATTAAGTTAATGATTAAGCTGTTTTCAAATCATTATAAATTTGAACGTTTTGACAAACAATAAAGACGTTTTATCTCATTGTCCATTTTATACGATTACTTACATAGCACATTCCTTCACCCATCATTGTAAAAGTACATATATGAGTTTTCTTGAGGTTATTGAAAATGCTCTTACATGTTTCTTGAGAATATCCTTTTACTATAATTTCTTGTAAATGATTAGGGCTCGAACCGTCCGCCTAAAAAAATTATTCTTAATTTAACTAAAATCTCATAAAATACAATTTTAATAAATATTAATAATAATTTTAATAATAAAAATCAATTTCTTTGTTTTTCTTTATTTTTATTATTCGTTTATTAGATATTATGTTTGAAATTTATAGTTACTCTATTAACATTTGGGCTTTTTAATCAATTTATTAAAATATATAGCCATAGAAATAGAAAATTATTAAAAAAAATATAAATCTTTCTTTACATATTTTAGATCTGATATATTCTGAAATAAATTATAAATTTTTCAAGCTTTTAATTTTCGCTAAAAAAAGATTTATTTTTTGAATTCTAAAATTTCAAACTCTAAATTTAAAATTTAAAATTCTGAGTTTAAATAAATAGTTTTATCAAAATGATAAAGAAACTATATTGTTCTTTAAAAAATCTATTATTCAAGATCAAAATTATATTCACCGAAGTATGCATAAATACTATTTAGATTTTACAAAAATATATTTTATCTTCTTTACCCAAAGTTTTCCCCAGCCAGTAACTATAAGAGGATAATTGTCATAATTCCGATCGACAACTGGCAAGGTAATTGGCTGGACCTTTTCGTTAAATAGGATAGTTTCCGAAATATAGATTAAACCAATATCATTAAGATATAATAACTCATTGTAACCAGCGTGCACTATCAAGATTGTTGCTTTATATAACGCATAAGGTGTATCAAGATAATTACTTCCAACAGCGACATTAACATTATATGGCTCGTCTTTCCTAAAATATAGATAATCATTACTTCACATGTTTCTATGTTAATGTTTATATTATTGTAATAATATTTATAATTTTTCATACTTAATCTGAACCATATAAATGTTTAAAAATAGAACAGTATTAATTACGTATAAATTAAATATTAGGCTGCGTTTTTAAAAGGTGCTAAAAATTATCATTATACCAATATTTGTCAAAGTTTTACATACTTCTCATTCTTCAGAAATATAAAATTCAGAAATATAAAATTCTTAAATATAAAATTTATTTTGTTGATTTTCACGATAATAATTGTACAATTGTCAATCAACAATAATTTTTAGCGAATTGAATATACGAAGAATATACTATTCTATTGCTATTTTTTATCTACTTGAAAAATATCATCTTCGACCGCTATTGCATGCAGGATTTTTAAGATAACCATCATATTGATAACAGTGACGAATAGAACTACAAACGTTCATACATACATTCCCAATATAGCCTTTCGTAACGCTGATTTATCTATTCTCGCTAGATTATTGAACAATTATACGAATTTCGTTCATGCTTATAATTTCGTTCATGCTCATCATTCAATCATTTGAATAAAAGTCAGGCAATTAAATATTGTAACAAAAAAGATACATACACATACTCAAGACATTGTGCAGCAGTAATGACGTAGTGCGCACTAATTATGGCTCCACTACAAAAATATCTATTTAATGAATCTCTCAATGATGCCTGATAAGGATATAAACCATCTAGAGCATCTTTGCCGCCGATAATCTGCGAACTCGGCAAACCTATTTGTAAATAAATGATGTATAAATAATTATTACAATATAAATATTTTTAAAATTACAAATTAAAAGGTATTAAAAGGTATTAAGAAAAAATTCAATATATGTATAAAGATTTATATCTTTACGATCATTTAAAATGTGTCACGTGCAATAAAATGATTACATATCATGTGATGTTAACATATAAGTATTATTGTTGTTATAATAAGGATTTTTGTACAATGTATGTTTTTCAAAATTATGATAAATTATTTTTCTTCTTTAATGATTAATGATAATGATTTTCTTCTTTAAAAATATTATATGAATAGACTTACCAAAGGCGTTGATTGCCAGGCACGCAACTATAAGGCCAACGAGAGTATTCATAGCGATAAATACTATATGGCATATTGAACATGTTATCTTCGATTTATATAAGTGTCGTGCGATGTTGATTAAAATCATTAGTTGATACTTATTTAATGATTTATGATATTTAAGTTACTTTTATCTTGGCATACAATAAAAAATGTATATGCGCAAAATTAATTTACAATGTTGCCATTTATACAATTGCTATATAAATGATTTGAATCAAACACTAATATTTGACAATTGCATAATAGTATATTATATAATTTTCAATTAAATTTTGCAATAGCATTTATAGCAGTTAATTTATAAATATAAATTATTATAAAATTTTTTTATTTACGCATTTTTTCTATATATCTGCATAATAAGAAAATATTTTTATTTGATTCATCTTGTATATTTCATATACATATACTGCAACAAATAATATATTAATCATATATTTTGTTTTCTTGAAATTTATTTTTACTCTTCATATCAAGATATTAATCGGTATAAAATTTCAATATCATAACACTTCCAGATGTTAAATTCATGCGAAAGTTTCTGCTTTCTAATGTTTAATTAGCTTTATACGATAATATATTTGAAAAGCATCGTGATTTAAACATCACGATGCTTTTCAAATATATCATCGTATAAAGCTAATTAAACATTGTTTTAATATACGATTGTGCCTATTATGTCTATAATTATTTTATATATACATAAATATGTTAGTATAAATTGAATTCATGATGTTCAAAAAAGCATGCGCTTTTAATTTAATTTATCATCATTAAATCGTGATGTCCAGATAAATTATCTTTTGACAAAAAATGTGCTGATATAAAATGATATATTCTTATCATCGAAAATCTTTTAAAAAATAAGAAGTATGAAAAATATACCTTTGTATATAAAATATGTACTAATTGTATGTCAATATACGTATAATACTAATTCATATAATTTTCTTATCTTATCCTCATATTGTGTTTGCAGACGTACCGACAAGAATTTTCACTCTTATATAGACGATAAGATATAAAATCAAATATAAATTTATCATTAAACAATTGCTTTTTTGGTAAAAAAATAATTTGGTTAAAAAATGGTTAATGTTTAATGTTCATCTCTGAAGCAACTCTAATAATAATAACTATTATAGAATTTAAACAAATCAAAATAAAACATTTAAGCTCTCAAGATAAAAAATAAATAAGAAATAAAAGGAATAGAATATATTAGTTAAATTAATTAATTAATTTTTATTGTAATTCAGAGCGACAATTTAAATTAATTAAATTGAGTTAAGAGCCTCGTAGAACTATAATTATCTATTTTTGAACTGGATGTATTTAATAAATTAAAATTTAATTAATTATTTTTTTAATTAAAATGAATATTCAAGTGACATGCTCCCTGATCATATTTTGAAAATGCGTAAATGTGATTATCTTGTATGTTCCAAAATAATATTTTGCATTTTGTGCTTTCAAGTAAACTTTTAAATCGCGTTCTTGAAATTTATTAGATATTTTCCTTAAGAATTAAGAATATTTGCAAAAAATATAATCACATAATATGTGTAATCACATATATAAAAAAATTATAATCTAAATATAAATGATAAAAGATAGAATGATGAAAGATGAGTACACGTAGATATAACTTGATACAAAATAAAAGAAAATCTGTGATTGATTATCTCTTTTATAATGATGCTTATTTAACTATCTATAGATATCTAATGATGCTTATTTAACTTATCGTTTTTCATCTTGAGTCTTTCTCATTCAGTCAAGAAGCAGGAATCGCCAACCAGAACGGAATTTATGATTGCGACAGGAATCGGTTATACATTATATGTATTATTGAATTATGTTTATTTTCAAATGAAACAAGTCGGATTATGGATTAAAAGTAGATTAAAATCAGAATGGATAATAACTGTTTCAACATTATAAGTATCACCAACTTCCTTCAAAAAGTTTGTACCAGCATAAACTATTACGTCTTTAAGAGCCTCAGGGAAAATCAGTAAATTTAAATTATATAAATTAATTAAATTATACATGTTTAATTGCTTAAATAAATAAATTCAATAAATTATTATTGTAATTATTATTATAAAGTAAAGAAGTCAGAAAGAAAATGAAAAATTAAAATATTTAAATATTGAGAAATCGGGAATGCAGAAATTTATTCAAATATCAAAACAGCTAAATATTGGAAAGTGTAGATTTTAAAATTTAATTTGCTTTTTGCACGAGATAAGAACATGAAATATATTTTGTAAGACAATGAACAGTGACAATGTGACATTCAGTAATGATAGATTTAGTAGAAATAATTATTATTAAGCCTTAGAGACACTATGGATATTCATTCAATAAAACGTATGTACGCCAACGATATAAAACCTAATAATTCTATTCAAATGAAGATCAAAGCTAAAGAAAATATGCATGGGGTTTAAAATATTAACTTTAAAAATATGTTAAATCTGTAATAATATATGTACAGAATTAATAATCATAGGTCTAATTTTATAGCTGTATTAATTCTTTGTATGCAATATATATATAATTTTTTTCTAATTGTATTTTCCCCGATAGTAATTTATTGAAAAAATATTTACAATAGCACAAAGAAAGAAAAAATTTAATGTTGCACTATTAGTTTTTAAGATTATAGATTGCAAATTTCAACGAAATAAGTTTTTGATATTCAAAAATATATAGAAATATATATTTTAGGTTCTGCATCGCTGATATTATAAATTTACTAGATCATTTTTGTAACATTGAAATCTAGATCATCGATTTTATCGTTAATTAATATATTATATATTTTATCGCAAAAAAATGTGTATATATATAAATACTTTATAACGTTTATTTTCACTTATCATATCCATGATCTTAATTGTACGGATGATCAAAAGACTAAAGACTGAATGCATTCCGAGACAAACGAGTTGAAGACAAAGCTACTTCATAAATATATATATCTAACAATAAGTGAGAATATATCTGCATACATGTTATTGATATGTAAAAATCAGATAAATTTGATTAGACATCCGATCATTCGAACTTTGATATCTGACAAATGTTACTCAAAAATAAAAAATTTTATTTATAATTCTTAATAAATCTAATATCTAAATTCTTAATAATCCTAGTGATACCTAACTAAAAATTTTATAAAATTTATATAATTTATATAATATTATATAATTTTAGTGACAATAAAATTATTTCTATGTAACTCTTTATGCTATATCTACATCTATTCTAAAATTTGTTAAAAAAAAATTTTAATGCAAATATTTTTAGTTCCTTCGTTCCATTTTCTTTGTTGATTAAAATTTTTCAAAAAATACAAGAATATGGTACATCAATATATAAGCGAACTGTTTTAAAGAGTAAATAGACTATTTTAGAAGAAGAAAAACTTTTCAAAATTGATTAATATCTCATATATTATAAATTAGTTAAAATATGCTTTTCTTAAATAAAATAAATTAAAAATTAATATTATTAATTATAATTTTTATTTATTTCAGAGGACTTTCTTTGTCAAGTTTGTTATAGATATACTTCTATATATTATATAGATTTAAAAATTTTGTCTTTTACAATAATCAATCGATAATAAGAAATAGAATAAGGAAACAATAATCATTGTAAATGAAAATATTATTTTCATTGTACAAAAGACGTAAAGCATAATTTTAGTAAAAAAACATAATTTTCAATAGATTTATTAATTACTCTATCATATATTATTTGTATTGATAATTTATTTGATCAATAAGAAAATCTAATACATTTCTTCAAAAATAATTCACACAAATTATTATTTTAATTGAATTATGAATCATACGCATAAATAGGTTGACATTTTAATAGACAAATATGTATTAAATTTTTTAAGTATTAAATAATTTTCTATTTCTTCAAATTCTCATTTATCCAAGATATATAACTGCTCACTCTCGTGTATACATCTGGATATCCAACTGCACACGGATAACCAAAAGAAACAATTCCAACCTGACTTCCATTGGCTACTAAAGGACCACCAGAATCACCCTGAAATAATGTTGCAATTGAGACATCAATATTACAATTTCTTATATTATAAATTATTATAAATTATGATATTATTAAAATAAGAATTAAATCGATATATAATTAGAGTTTTAATATTTATTAAATTTTTTTAAATATATATATATTCATTTTTTTTAACAATATAACTTACATGGCACGCTCCTTCTCCTGTTTTAGTCAAAGTACAAATATGGCTATATATCAAATTTGAATGTTTGGATTTACATTGCTGTTGAGGATAAATTATTAAGTCAATTTCTTGCAGATTATTCGGGAGACTGCCACCCAGCTAGAAAGATCAATATATATTGTTATTCGTCAAAGTACATGTTGATGAAATAACGAATAATTTCTTCGACAAAAATTTTTTCTCGCAACTTAATATGTACAAAGAAAAATGAATTTTCTTATATCTTCTAATAATACTAATTTTTCCTTAAATACACACACACACATACACATAGAGAGAGAGAGAGAGAGAGAGAGAGAGAGAGCAAATTTTCGAAAAATAATCTACATATTATGAATTCAATGTTACCCTAGTAGTTCCCCATCCAGATAACGTACAAGGTTTGCCTTCAAGATTTTTATCACTTGTCGCAAGCTTTATCGGCTGCACTACTGTATTATATTTAATAGGAGTTGCAAGATGAAGTAGAGCAATGTCATTAATGATCAAATCACTGTTGTAATTTTTGTTAACAGTAACATTTTTTACTGCATAAGTATCTCCTGATTGATTCAAATAATTTGTGCCGACATGGATCGATGCATATGGTAATAGACTTTCCATTCTAATAGTGAGAAAAAATGTAAGGCTATCATCTTGAATAATATTATGCTTCATTAATATTAAATTATTAGAATTGAAATAATAAACATAGAAATAGTACGATCGTTCAATGTATATAGAAAAAGAATAAAATATACATTATATGTAATATATATATATTACAGTAATTTTCCAAATGTAATAATTCTAAAATCGTTACTTTTCTTATATGAATCAGTAAATAATTTAGAATATATTATAATATTTATAATATAATATATTTGTTATATATGTATATTTATTTTGTATAATTATTTCTAAACCTAACCTAACCATACCATTAGAAATATTTTAAGCTTATTTCTATAATTTTTATCAAATCATCATAATTTAGAAAAATTAAAACTACTTTATGTCAAAATTATTTATAATTGATTATTCCGTATGTCATACATATTTAATATATAATATTCAAAAATTAATTAAGAATTAGGTTTCAATAATAACATTACTTAGTGGATTATTAAGTACATTATTTAGTAATAACATTAAAATAAAGATTCGAATTCTAAGTACCCATCCACACAATGTGCTGCGGTGAGAACATTATTTTTATCTATGATAGAACCACCGCACGTATGTGAATCGAAAAATCGAAATGATACTTGATATGGATATTTGCCAATAGGAGCATCCTTGCCCCCGACAATACGAGGAGATGGGGCCCCTTTGAACAAAAATAAATTAATAATATTTTAATACTATGAAAAATATTTGAAACATACAATATTTATATTATTGTACACATGTATACTTTTAATAACAACATTAAGTAACTAATAACATCATATGTTAACAATATCTAGAAACTTTACACTTACATAAACCATTTGAAAAAACTAGATTTATTAATAAATTTAGAATTTTCTTTTTCTTAGTAACAATTTTATTAATTGCATTAATGTTCAATAATTATTTATGGATTAATACCTTGTACGACGTATATTAGAGTAACGAATAGAAGGGAAATGAATGCATGCATCTTTGATTTTAGATTTATAGACACTGACTGAAGTGAAGATAATTCATAAGTTTATATACGTTTCTAAAGTGCAGCAAAGATATGAATCACGTGTTCGTGACATTTTTCAATTTTCCTCATTACGATATCGATTTTATCGAACTTATAATAAAATGTATTCAATATTATTATTTATAGTTTATACTTCAACACTTCACATACCTGTATAATATTAAAATAAAAGTGCTAAAGAACTTTAATTAATTTACATTCATTATCATTATAAGTTTTTTTTTTAAAGAATTGGAAATTATGTTCACTATCTAAAAGTACGTAGTACATAATTTATCGATTATTATATCTATATAGGACATTGCATTTTATGATAACGTCAATAGAGAGATAATTCCATGTTCCGCAATTCATTGACATTATAAAATGGAGTTGAGTAAATTTGTAAATAATAAATAATAAAGAAATATAAATAAGAAATAAAACATTTTATTCCTCAACAGAAAATAATTACCTATTCAATTATATTAAAAAAAAATTTATGAAAAATAAACTTCATAATTAAATAAAATTTGTATGTAAATATTTATACGTATTTATAAGTTATGTGTACATATGGTTTCAAATAATAACAATTTTATTATTTAGTTAAAAAATAAATAATTTTAAATTTAGAAATAAAAAATTTTCTTTTATTTGAATCATCCATAAACAATTAATATGTCAAATGTAAATATTTCTTGTGATAAAATATAAATCAATAGTATTTATTTTTATCTTATTAATTTATTTATTATATATAAATATTAACTATAATTTTATTTTATTTCATTATATAACATGTTGATTGAGCCATTCTGTGAAAGCAGACACTCTAGTATATACATCAGGAGCTCCGCGAGCGCATGGTACACCAAAGGAGACAATACCGATCTGAACACCTTTGGCAACAAGAGCACCACCGGAATCACCCTGAAAATTTAATAGAAATAATAATTGTTAAACAAAAACTTCATCCAATTTATATAATTAATATATGATTATAATATATGATTTATATCATACATTCAAAAATATGAATTTGCAAGTATATTTATGTATCAACTTTCAATATATTTAATTCATAAAGATTTATGATAATTGTGAAATACATGTAGTATCAAATATAAAGTTTGCAGTTGAATTTATATTTGAAATTATATTTCAAACCATAATATATTTAGCGTTTATAAAATGTATAATATGTATCGTATATATAAATATCTATCTAAAATACTCTGTAACGCTGCATTAAATAAATTATAATGATGTACTTTCTTATTTATTATATGTATGTTTCTCTAATGCGGTGATATTTTAAATAATTAAATGTATGAGAAATACTTACGTGACATGCGCCTTCGCCTGCTTTTGTTAGCGTACAAATGTGAGAGGGTTGTAAATTCGAATGCGTTTGTTTGCATTTATCTTGATCATAAACGTTTAATTCAATTTGTTGCAACTTATCAGGAACAATACCACCAAGCTAGATAATAATATTATATATTATGAAATATCATCCTTAAGAAAATTTTAAAAATAAGTAATTGATTTTGCTGTGTATGTTCATGCACATTATGTACATAAGTTTTTATGTCAACTTAAAAATAATTTATTAGTTCTATGTTAGTTCTATTTCTTTCTGACTTTGTATATTAAAAATAATAATTTGAAATTTTACATACGTAAAAAAAATATATAAGAAAGTAGTTATTTTTTAATATCAGCGACTATTGCGCAATTTTATTATTTTTTTATGTAACTAATTTATTATTTCAAGAACTTTCCACTTGTCATAAATTTTATTTAACTATAAAAATAAAATAATGTAATTATTTTTTATTATTGATATCACTTTAAGATTAATAACTATTTCGAAACAAAGAAAGTTCTCTAATTAAATTTTCTGAAGAATTTAATTCAATAAGTATTAAATGAAATTTCGTGTGTATGTTTATTTTTATTAAATAAAATAAATGTTTTATTATACATTGTTTTATTTGATGAGCTTACCGAAGTTGTTCCCCATCCAGTTAAAGTGCAGGAAGAACCAGCAGGAGCAACATCATCGTGTGCAAGTGATATAGGCTGTACTAATGGTTTAAATTCTACAGTAGTTGACAGAATAAGTAAACCAACATCATTGACTAGCAAAGTAGGACTGTAATCCTCGTGAATGATAGCTTTGCTTGCTGTGTAAACGACACCAGATTCACTTAAAAGATTTGTGCCTGCATGGATAGTTAAGCTCCTCAAATTCACGGGATTGTTGACCATACTATTAAACAAATATATTTTGACTGTTGATATGGTTGTTTTTCGCTTTTTAAATTCTTCTAAATATTTCTTTCATAGTATAACATTCAAAATCTATCCAATATATTTATACAGTATCATATATATATATATATATATATATATATATATATATATGTATAAAGTACATACTCTGCTAAACAATGAGCGGCAGTGAGAACAGTACGACTGCCAATGATAGATCCACCGCACATATGAGATCCAAACAATCTTAATGACACTTGATACGGATACTTGCCGGCCGGAGCATCTTCTCCGCCAACAATGTGACTGCTTGGATAGCCTATATAATTATATGAAGAGATGCTACTATTATTATTATTAAGATTACTTATTATTAAGATGGGATTATTGCATCCCTTATATAAGAAACACAAGAAATTTTATGAGAAAACATTAAATATCCACTTACATCCGGTGGTTGTTACAATAATTTAAGATTACTTAATTCTGATATAAAATGTAATATTTTATTTGTAAGTAAAAATAACTATATAAAATAGTTAAAATACAGATTTCGTAGTCTTTTATTTTATTTTTTAGTCATTACAAAAATGGGAACAGCGATTTGCTTACATTTGTTAATTTTTTTAATCTATTGCTCGGGAAAATTAAATAAATTTTTTGAAAGTAATTGTGTTTAATAAAATTATTTTAATAATATTTGCTCTTATTCTTTCTTTTGTCTCTCTCTTTCTTTCTCTCTCTGTCTTTCTCTTTCTCTTTTTTTCTTACCATGAACGGCTACTGCTAAACAAGCGACTACGAAGGCAAAAAATGCGTACATCGTGAGACTGTGGTACTGATAATAATAAAGTTTTTCGTAGGTATATATACATCTTCTGAAATTTCCACTACATAGAAATATGCTTTGGAATATATACATATACGATATGTACATACATAACAAAAACGAAATGTTTTCCTAATCTTTAGCAGATTTAATCATTAGACGATATTATTATTTGATATCATAATGATTTCGATAATTTATGTTAAATGATTAGACCAAATTACGTATCTGTGCAGATCTTTATCAGTCTTCAGAAGGAAACTTTAAAATTTTTATCTTCGAAATACATGATCCAATCGAAACATTGCTACTGTAAAATCTTTATTCATTAAGCTATTATGATTTTTCAATTATTATTTGGTTGTAAAATATTCTAATTCTAAATTTATGAAAAATTAACTAATAGATAAGAGATTTCTGATTGATCTTTAAACCTCCCATATAATATTTCAATTAGATAATCAGAGAATGATGGTATTACACAGAATTGCAATATAAGATTCCAATATATTCTCTGTATTGTGATACAGTATAATAATAAGTTACAAAACAATTTTAGTTTACCAACAATTGGTTTGTCCAAACTAGAAAAAGAATATCAATGAATGTGATATAAATTAATATCTTACACACACACATACACACATTAATATTATTATTAAAACTTCCTTTAAAACATAATAAGAAACTCATCAATAATAAATATCAAAATTAATTATAAAAAAAATTATTGTTATAATGTTATAATTATTGTTATATGATTATTATATTATACGTTATTTCTGTAATATGATTACTGAAATGTATTGCATATAATAGATGACTATACATTTTGCTCTTATCAATATAATTTCTTTATTGTAGTCATCTGGTCTATTAACATCAACATCAACATCTATTAACATAAATATCAAATTAAAAGATTTTAAATAGAGAAATATTCTTATTTCTATATTTATAGACCCACTTACAAAACAATCAGTTTCTCACTTTTAAGCGTAAAATATTATTATTTTGACTTATGTAAATAATGTTACTCTTTCATCTAAATAAATTAATCTGTTCATATATTTGATAAATATAATTTTTGATAATCTCTAGCATATTTTTTTATGTAATAAAAACTTGTAACTTTTCAAAATTTATTTAAAATTAATTTATTTTAATATTATATATTTTTATTCATAAAGTATAACAGAAATTAATATAAATGCATGCGTTATTTTTAATAATTATAAAGTATAATTTTTTAATTATTTTCTATAGTTTCTATACATGTTTTTGCAATTAATTTACAATTAATTTTTAATCATAAATTAAAAATTTAATTTAATTGTTAAAATATAATAAAATTAGAAATGCATGTCTATCATAGTAAAGATATCTTTTGTGTTTCTGATGATATTTTAGCACATAATTATTAAAGTAAGTCAATCATTTATACATGCATTTAAATACTTAACAATTAGATATTATAGTAATATTTAAGGTATTTTGATAATATTATTAAATACGTTTTTAATATCATTCATAAACTTTTCTGCTTTTATCTAAAGTTATAATCTAAAGCTATAATCAAATGGATTTTCCAATGTTATATCTAAAAATATTTAATCTATGAGAAATCGCGCGTGTGATTTGACGTTATCTATGTCTGTTAGCTTTATCATAAGATATCAATTGTGAAATTGTTTAAGTTATCATAAATAATAAGGAATAAATTGATATGCTGTTTTACACGATAAAATATAAGCTCTATAATCAGAATCTACAATTATGTAATAAAATATAAATAAATATAATATTATAAAATATTTTCAGAAAATAAGTATTTGTGTTTTATGATTTACGCAAACTGAAAAATTATTATCAAAATTAATTTTATTTCTTTAGTTATTAAAAAAATGGAAAAAATATTTCAATTCTTATAATATTTTTTTGTTCTGTTCTCAATCATATAAGAATGTCAAATTAACTATCTCAAAATACTTGAAAAAATCTACAAAAATTTATACAGATATTATATTATTATATATTCCTTGGTATTTATAAGAAAATGATTATGTACCACAAATATTAAAATATAAATTTTAAATATATTAATATATTATATATTATATCAATTTATATATGTATATAATTTTTGTTTATTAATTAAAACTTTCAGAATATTCTTATCCTTCAGAATTGTTATCGATAGAATCAAAATGATCCAGATGTTATTTTTAAGGATTAAATTTTAAGGATTATTAATTTGTATATAATTATATATACAAATATAAATCGAATCCCGTAAGAATGTACTATATGGTTCTGGTACATTATAATGGGATTATTCTTATTCCCGTCAAATTCAGGACCGACCGCGCAAGACTTGCATGAACTGTATCAAGCGAATATAGATGTTTTTTCTTAATCATGATATGGTACATTCTATAACATTACGTTATCATGTTTCCTATAGACGAAAAGATAATTTATCTTCTCAAGAGATGGCGCCATTTTGTATTTAGCGTTATATGTATATGCGCGTTTGGCTAAATGGCCAAAGTCTTTCTTTTTTATCAATAAAAAAAATATACAACCGGATGGGTAATCCCCAGACTATTCTTTATATCTTAAATAATGCATATATATATATATATATGAGAGTGTTATACGGAGGCAGACATTCTATAAAAAATTAAGAAAACAAGGATGGAAACATAATAATATACAAAAATACAACAATAAACAATAATATTGTAGATGTATTATAAAAAAATAACGTATCGATATTATTTGCTATTTTTTTAAATATTATTGTGTGTTTGTTTTTGCTATATAATATTACACAATTTTGATGATTATATAATCTTTTCAAATTATACATTCTGCAATTTTTTTATATAAATTAAATTTTATATTATATCTTATAATATATATTAAAAATATAAAATAAAATATATAAAAAATAATAACATTTTTTTATAAAAGAAATTGAAATATTACAATAATAAAAAATATGTTTTATGAAAATATGATAATGTAATGTTTGAAATGTAAAAGGTATCAATATCAAAAATATTGATATTAAACAATGTTATATCTAATTATACTATAAACTTACGCTAATATCTCAAAAATTTCATATACATAATCAAAAATGTATAATATAAGCAAAAATATATATAATCTTTGCTCTAAAATAAAAATCTCGAAATATAACAATAAATAAATTTTATATTCAAGTTTTCTATTTAAAATAAAAAAATTAAAAATAAACAAGATTTCTGTCTATAATAAAAAAATAAATATAATATATGTATAACATGAGTTTGAATAAAATAAGATCAGTGTAAATCAATAGATTATAATATACGTATGCTTCTTATAGTATATATTAGGTATTTATAATGCTATTTCAATAACTATCTCTATAGCTACGATTTAAGAAAACATTTACACAAATAAAGTTTGGACAGTGACGTAAATAGAGCTTAAAATAGCTAAAGATTCTTTTACTCTTTAAAATCTCAAGATGCCTTGCCTTGTTCACGTACGACACGCCTTGTGAAAACTTAGTAACAAGAGCGAGCTGAAAGACACTGTTTGCAAATCATTAGTCTGACGATAGAGGTGCGCTTGAGATGAGGAGGCGGAAGTCTCTTCAACATGGTGTCTATATAGAAACAAGCGAATTGTGAAATAGCTTTGACAATTTAAATTCGCCGCCATTGTTTGTCTTGTAAAATTGTAACTTCTAGCACAACTGCTAGAAAACATAATCGTTAAGCGAAAATCTTTTCTTTGATCTTATATAAATATTGAGAGAATCTGGACTATTTTTTACAGGTGAGGGATAAAAATTTTTAACGAGATTTCTTCAAGATAAAATTTTCAATTACATTTTACAGAAAGAAACAGAAGAGTCCGCGTATTGCGGAGATATATCGCTTCATCTTATAATTGATATTACACACATTTATCTAATTTTAAATAATATTAATTTTTACATATACATTCTATACTTTTTGGAAAAAAATAAAATAAATCATAGCATTATGAATCATTTAAATTTTCGAACTTTGAATGAGATATATTTCTTGTTTAATTAAATTTTCCATATGATGTATTATCTAAATGGCTAATATATATGTATATAATTTTTCAATATAGCATTAAATTTGAATTTAATTTAAATTTAATATATGCAGTTTGCTTATATATTAAATAAATAAATAAAGTAAATAAAGTAATCACAAAGTAATTTCATAATAAAAGAATTTTAAAATAAATGCTAAAAAGTAGAATTTGTAAATAATACATACATATAAACAATACATATGTGTGTGTGTGTGTGTGTGTGTGTGTGTGTGTGTGTGTGTGTGTGTGTGTGTGTGTGTGTGTGTGTGTGTGTGTGTGTGTGTGTGGTGTGTGTGTGTGTGTGTGGTGTGTGTGTGTGTGTGTGTGTGTGTGTGTGTGTGTGTGTGTGTGTGTGTGTGTGTGTGTGTGTGTGTGTGTGTGTGTGTGTGTGTGTGTGTGTGTGTGGTGTGTGTGTGTGTGTGTGGTGGGTGGGTGGGTGGGTGGGTGGGTGGGTGGGTGGGTGGTGTGTGTGTGTGTGTGTGTGTGTGTGTGTGTGTGTGTGTGTGTGTGTGTGTGTGTGTGTGTGTATTATTTAAAATGAGACTGCAAGCTATTTTCCGTCAGAAATATAAAGTACGCTAAAATAAAAGTAAATACTTTCTTTTATTGTGTCAGCCACAAATGAACATCCTACTATTTAGTTGATTCTTATAGCGTAGCGGGAAATAAATACGAGGGATCAGCAGTCCCCAAGGATCGGGTGCGAAGGCGATTGCGAATAACAAGAACCCTTCGTCTAGCGCGAATCCTGATCCTGTTAACGGGATCATCCCGGAATCATTGATGAAACCGTGAGAGAAAATGAGATACATTTGAATTTCTCGTCGCGTTGCATGAATATATTGATAGTTCGATTAAATAAGTGCAGATCGCGAATTTATGCAAGTTTTTTTCTCGCAAAATTGTATTAAGAATTATTTAATTATAAATTGTATTT